GAGACACGTAGCAGACATGCTCTGTGTAGAGCATCTCGCACACAGTAGGCATGCTTTACATAAAACACCTGGCACACAGTACGTACACGTTATTTAAAGTACTATGCTGAAGTTTGCTTTCTGTAGAGCACCTGGAACACAGTAGACAGGATGTTTGTAGAGTTCCCAGCACACAGTGGGGTCACTTTATGTAAAGCACACAGTATGTGCAGTTTATGTAGACCACACGGCAGAAGGACTTTACAGTCTCTTGCACAGAGCAGAGCCCTGGCCCACAGCGGCTCAAGGGCTACTTGCCAGCCCCTTCCCTTTACTTTCTCTTTTTGGGGCTCCCAACTCTGTAGACCCGTCCTCTGTCCCCCAACGAGGACCTCATCTGATATCCCATTTCCCAGATGGGAAGACTGAGCCCAGGATGGCTGCCACTGCCCACACTCAGAGCAAGAGCAGGGCAGCCCAAGGATTCCACACAGGTTCCCCTGGCTCTCCCCTCCCTGCCTGGACCCCATCTGCTGACAGCTCCTCTCAGTCTCACCCCCAGGGCCTCTCCTCTGTCCTTGGACACTCAGCACAGCCTTTAGGTTTGCCCTTTCTGTGACCCAGGCTAGAGTGCAGTGGTGTCATCATAGCTCACAGCAATCTCAAACTCCTGGGCTCAAGAGATCCTGCTACCTCGGCCTCCCAGAGTGCTAGGATTACAGGCGTTGGCCACCGTGCCCGGCCACCAGCTGGGTCCTTTATCCCTGGAATCTGACTGGAATAATCACCAGCAAGGCTGGATTGTTTGTTTCTGTTCCTAGCAGTCATGTGTCAACCCAGGGCCTGGGCTGCCTCCAGGCAGGACTCGAACTCCCACCAGACTGTGCAGCCTGGGCCCCTGGGCTTTCATCTCCAAGCCTCCTAATTCTGCCCCGAGAAATGGTGCATGATGCCCTACAGAAGCTCGGGATACGATCGGGGACAAAGCCTGGCCTGGCCATGCTCACCTGGCACCTGAACTCTCACTTTCAGCTCCACCTGGTGTGCAAACCATGGGGCTCTGAGTCCCATTTGGTCACCCCTGACTTGCCCCCTTACTCCACACGGGAGGTGCTGAGACTTGAGGATCCAGTGCCTCGGCCGTGTCATCCCCAGATGATCGCTCTGAAGCCAGCTCCCTCCCCACGCCATGATTTGGTCCCCTGCCCAGGCTGGGAGGAGGCAGCCCTGCCTGCAGGGATTTGCTGGCCCAGCCCCACCCTGCCTCCCTCAGCCTTTCCTTCATCAGGGCCCAGGGCAAAGACCGCCCAGCAGGGCGAAGAGGAGGTTGTGTGGACAAGCTGCTCCTGAGAGAAGGTGCCAGGCTGTGGTGGTGGCCCTGGAGGGTCCCAGACTGGGATGGGGAGGGGGCTTCCCAAGGCTGGGGCGGCTATAGGGAGGTGGCCCTGGGAATGGTGGTTTCCTGGAAACTGAGCCCTGGCAGCCTCCCTTCGATTCAGGCTGGGCCTTTGTGGACTTTAGCTCTCAGGCATTATTTACTCATCTCTGAGCCATCCCCTTCCTGCCCCTGCCCCTCTGTCCTGGCCCTGGAGCCCCCTTCCCTCTCCTGGGCCTCAGGAACTCCCCTTGCACCCATATGCCCTGCAGGATGCCACAGCTGAGCCTGTCCTGGCTGGGCCTGGGGCCGCTGGCAGCCTACCCGTGGCTGCTGCTGCTGCTGGTCGGAGTTTCCTGGCTCCTGGCCCGCGTCCTGGCCTGGACCTACGCCTTCTATGACAACTGCAGCCGCCTCCGACGTTTCCCAGAGCCTCCCAAAACAAACTGGTTCTTGGGTCATGCCGGACTGGTGAGTGTGGCAGCAGGACGGGTCTGGGGTGTCAGGGTGTGTGGACTTCTCCAGGACAGGAAGGGGCTCAGGGAGCCGGGGGTAGAGGTGGGCTGGGTTCTGGGACGGCAGAAAAGCGAGGGAGGCCGCTGACTCACTCCTCTGCTCACTGCCTCACTGCTCTGCTGTGCCGTCCCAGGCCTCTGTCCCCTCCTTGTCCTCCCACTCCCAGGCCTCTGTCCCCTCCTTGTCCTCCCACCCCAGCCAGCTCAGCACCCTTTTCCTGCCTGTCTTCCCACAATGGTGCACCGTGAGGGCTCCCGGGGAGGGCTGCACAGAGCAGGGACCCCTGGTGTTCCCAATTCTCCACCGCGGGACTTGAGGACACCTGAGGGGCAATGTCCAGGGTGGCCCTGCCTGGACCTCCCTGCCTGGCCCGTGTCTTGTGTCTGCCCCTCTCTGGGCTGTGACTACCCCACTCCCCCAAACACACAGGGGCACAGCTGGGACACGGGACAGGTGGGGACAGTGTCCCACTCCTGCCCTTCCTGAGCACCCTCCTCTTACCCTGCTCTTCCCCACTAAGATGTCCCAATGGGCCCTGCTGTGCAACTTGCGTGACAGTTGGCCGCTCACTTCCCCTCTCAGGAGCCTTTCCCAACCCCCCTCTCCCCACACCTTGCCCTCTGACTTGGACCTGCTCTCCCCTGTGGGTGACGTGGCCTCAGCCTGTTCACTTGTAATGGCAGGGGCAATGTGTGTGTCCTTAGGCTCAGTGGGAGGGTGCACAGCCTGGTCTGCAGAAGGTGCTCACAGGTGGGAGCCATGGTCCACATG